TATTATATTAACTAATCACACATTTTTCAATTTTTTTAATTGCGATTAATCCCACCTAACCTTAAAGTTTTTAAATATACTTTTATATTGCAATAATTTTTCATTCAATCTTCAAATTAATGTACAAACAACATAAAGACAGTGTATTTTTTAATATTTGTTTAATGGCATCTTGTTTTATGACTAAAGCCAGTATCAATTATACCAATACTGATTTCTCTATAAAATGTACCTCAAAATACATTTAAAATTCATCGCCTGCGTTAACGCGTTAATTTTGACACCACTAATATATATATATATATATATACAGTATATATACACAGTATATATTACTTTGTGTATTTTTGCTCTGCCAATTAAAATAGTTCCACTTCTCTGATTAAAAGTAGTTCTATTTCCTTTGTTAACGAATCTGAGATTTTGAATAGACATTCACTTGATTCTTTCCTTAATGAATCAGGTTTATTGAGCAAATCGGTTGAATGAATTAATAATCAGTCATAAGGACATTCATTTGTGTCTTTCCAGAATGAATCAATGTTGTTGAACAAATAAGTTGAATGAATAAGAATGATTCACTAATTCATTAGAACATTCACTTCAACAATTCCTGAATGAATCAGTACTGATCAAATCGCTGATTCAGTCACTCTCTCATAAATACAATAATTTGTCACCACCTACCAGTGTTAGTATTTTAGTATTATTTATATACTATTATAGATATATAGATATATATATTTATATAGATATAAATATTTTAAATGAGCTATATTTTTTATTTGATATTTTTCATTTTATTTTTGAGAGATTTTTTTTCATTTTGATTTCTTTTTATATCTATATTTAGCTGTAATTTATTTTTATTTCAGTTTTGCTAATTTTACTACTTCAACAACTTATTTCAGGTTTTCATCTAATATTTATATTTTATTTCAATTACAGAACACTTGCTGAATTGTATCACCACACTTTTAAAAAGTTAAACTCAATTTGTGATGTGATCATGTTGCCTCAATTAAGCTCTCACTGAAAATGAATGGCTTCTGGTCGCTTCAAATTGCTGTCATTGCCAATGCTCCTTCACTTCAAAGCTGATCAAAATCAATTATACATGTTTCAAACAGTCTGCCAACTAGTCACCAACTAGCACAAGTTCTTTGCACACTGATGTACTTGTATTGTTTCCTGGTGCTGTTTGGAATGAGATTACAGTTGAGCGTTTCAAAGAAAATACATTCCCAGATTACAGCAAGTAATGGACTTGTACTATTTCTTGGGTGCCTGAAAGTATTTCACGCTTCAAATTACGTCCCCACAGAAACACCCACACAATGTTTGTTAAATCCTAGTCGGCGAGTCAAAGGCGGGTCAAGAGTTGTTACTCACCAGCAAGGCTGCCAGGTCTCTGTAGAGTGGCAGTGGCGTAGAGATCGTGGGATATCTTGTACTGCTCAGATGAGTGCACCAGCCTTTTGGTAGGTGAAAGCGTAGCGTAAGTCGACACTCCTGCGGTCTGCAGCTGCTGATAGATAGGCGACGCATTATTGGGCGGAGACGCCAACTGGTGAGGGGAGCCTGAAGTGTGAGTACCGGGCGTTCCTCCGATCCCCACCGCATTGATCGGTGAGCTACTGCTATAGGATTTTGCAAGCCTGCCTGGAGAAGGCTTGGGGGAGGCTGAGGAGGACGAGGAGGGCAGGCGCTGGGTGGTGGCGTAGCCGGGTGTGTCGGAGGCCGAGCCCAGACGCTGCAGTTTAGTCGGGGATCCGCTGGTCACCGTGGACTGCATTGAGTTCAGGGGAGAGCTGACGCGCTTGGCAGGCAGAGTAGAGCAGGAGTAGTACAGGCCCGGGCCGGACGCTGCAGAGGGGTGCTGGGAATCGGACAGCAGGGCACTGCCATGGCTCTGACAAGAGTCGTCCGCCACAAGCTGGGCCGCACGGTTAGATGTCACCTGAGAGGAGAGAAAGATAACGGTTATTTCCAATCAATACAGATCCTAAATAAGGAAAAATATGAGCGAGAGAACAAAAAAGATCTGTTATGTCACCCTCATGTCATTCCAAACCTATAAGATATTTCAAATAATTTAAACGTTTGGTGTAGTGAGATTTTTTTTTTTCTTTTAAATTTTCTATTTATTGAATAATTCAGTAAAAAAATTATTATGGTTTGCACAAAAATATTCAGCAGCACAACTGTTTTAAACATTGATAATAATAAGAAATGATTCTTGAGCAGCAAATCAGTATATTAGAATGAGTTCTGAAGGATCATGTGACACTGAAGACTGGAGTAATGATGCTGAAAATTCAGCTTTGACATCCCAGGAATAAATAAAAAATGTTTACGAATTAAAACAGAAAACAGTTATTTTAAATTGTAATAATATTTCACAATATTACTGTTTTCACTGTATTATGATCAATTAAATTCAGCCTTGGTTAGCTTAGGAGACATTTAAAAATAAATAAATAAAAAACACATTGCTTCTTGCATGTCATATGACTAAACATCATGACATTTGAGGTTTGTGTTGCCATATTTGATAGTCTTTATGAACTTCTGGGGAAGTTGAGCACAGAACGAGGAACGAAGAGACGTGGAGTAAACTTCAAACGAACAGACTTTAATAAACATTCAAGGAACCAGGAACACACACATAGCGGGGAAAGAGGAACATTCAATACCAGACGAGGAAACTAGGAACAGGACTCACTATAAATACACATGACTTGACGAGACACACCTGGGAGCAAATGAACAATCAGCATGGGAAATCTAGGTCAGGGCAGGCACATGGAGAGGGAAAACACAGATAAAGTCCAGGGGCGTGACAATAATATGATAAAAATATACAAAAACATTCTTCAGAATATCTTTTATGTTCGACTCAAGGAACCAGGAACACACACATAGCGGGGAAAGACGAACATTCAATACCAGACGAGGAAACTAGGAACAGGACTCACTATAAATACACATGACTTGACGAGACACACCTGGGAGCAAATGAACAATCAGCATGGGAAATCTAGGTCAGGGCAGGCACATGGAGAGGGAAAACACAGATAAAGTCCAGGGGCGTGACAATAATATGATAAAAATATACAAAAACATTCTTCAGAATATCTTTTATGTTCGACAGAAGAAAGTCAGTCACAGGTTTGGCATGACATGAGGGTGAGTAAACGAATTTTCAGTTTTAGGTGAACTATCCCTTAAAGGTGGTTTACTTGATATTCAGATGATAATAAGAGACAAGGGCAAAAATTCTTCTCAGAATCCCTTAAAAATCATAATAATTCCCTTGACAGTAACAGATGAAGCATGTATCCTGAACACATAAAAAAAAAAAAAAGCCTGTAAACGGAAGTTATTGCATATACATGCATGACCATATGTCACATTTCCTCATGGGATCACCAGCCCTTATGTCAATGGATGTTGCATCGGCCATAATTCAGAAGAGCAGGCGTGCGCAGATAAACCAAGGCAAATTAACGCTGGCACAGTGCCAGTCATTTAGAAAGACGCTTTGGCGTGTGAATAAACATTTCTTCCTTTAGATTCCTCATAATCACAATAAAGATTGTGGGTGATTACAATGAAACATTGGTTCCACTGTTTCTCATTTAGAGAAAGCATGAAACCTGATTATTCTTATTCAGAATAAATTGCATTGATATAAGGTAATAATATTCAAATAGTCTGGAAAGTTGACTAAATATGAGACAAAGGTCTTGAAGATGGAGAGAATGATTGTGCTGGAAAAGTGTATGACATTTAAAGCTAAAGCTGGCTCTGTTTGTCTACATGCTGCGTTCATAAACAAAAAGATTCTTCAGTGGTGCTTTGCACCACCTATGAACAATCCCCTTATCAAAAACAGTTTTCACTGTATAGAGTTGTTGAGCTGGTTATAGGCCGAATTCAGAAAAATTGGACCACTTTTGTCATTGAGATGAAAGAGACAAAGTGCTGCAATTTATAGCACCTGAATTCACCCTAAAAATCTTTGGTGATTATGATTTTGCCAGGTAGGGCTTTGAATGTCAACATTTTAGCACAACTAATAAAGGCAGTAACGCCAATACATCAATTTAAAAAGTAAATAAAATAATGAACAAACATAAACTCTCCCCCATTACTGCTTACTGACTTTTTTTTACACTGTAAAATGCAACAAATAAATAAGTAAAAAATAAAATAAAAAATGATACATAATAAATAACAAATAAATAACAAAAAACGGGAAAAAAAAATAAAATACATAAGATGTCCTTTGTCCTGCTGACATGTCTTCACATAATCTAATGGTTGTAAGCTCAAGCTTCACATGGGACAGCGTTTGTACAAACAAAAATCTTAATCACCTCATTCTTGATATAGAGTCTTTAGTGCAGCATATATTGATTCTAGGTATCCTGAAGCCCTGTTTGGAGATGGTTTACTATAAAGAACTAGAGAATATGTTTTAGAATATAAAAAGGTCTACAAAAAGCCTTTCGGTTGGAACTTTAATCTTTATTTTCACGATTGCTCTGCTTCTCCTGATAAGACTTTAATGAATGAGATGGAAGAATCCTCTGAAGAAGAAAAAACACTCTCAAGATAGGATTGTGAATATTTAAAAAAGGTAGTTAATAGCTCAATAGCATGTTATACCAAGGTGTAATGCAATTATACCATCATTCCTCTACCAAATGCTTTATCTCTCCATCTCTCACTCTCTCTCTCTCGTTCAGAGGGGGAACCACATCCCGGCATAGACAGCAGAGGAACACCTACTTGAAGAGACGGTTACTGGTTCCTGATGTGGATGAATTATTTAGGGAACAAGAGGGTTATGGTGTTAAAAATATCTACATAAAAGCACCTAACTGATGCGTTGTGTTATATAAACCCATCCTAGAGCAGACAAGCCCTCTTCAGATTACCCTCCACAGAATCAAGCCTACAGTCCGCACAAACACAGGAGAGAAAGAAACACAATGCAGTTTCTGTTTTCAATATAAAGCAAACACACTTGCAAGCCAGAAAAAAAGTTTTTTTTTTTTAAAAATGAGAAACTGCATTCATTTAAAATGAGAATGTTTTCAAAGAATCTTTGCAGTGAGGCACCCCTCGACTCTCTCAGAAACAAGTCCGGAAGGCCGAGGAGCTGGGCATCTTTCATTAGAAGACAGAGGGCCTATGTGTTCATTAAAAGTGTCAAAGGATGAGAGAGAGAAGAGAGCAAAAGGGAGGGTGAACGAGCGAGTGAGAGAGAGAGCGAGAGGATGTGCCAATGTCAGCTTTATCGTGACCAACCGCTCAAGCTCTTCTTCTTCATTTGCATGTGTTAAACAGTCAGTTAATTAGCGAACATGGAGGAAATTAAATATTTGTGGACTGAACAGAAACCGTACCTTTTTACCGCAACGTTCGTAGCTCATAGCAGGTGCGCTAGACTCGTTTAAAAGAAATGAAAGTTGGGAGAAACCGCCCTGCAGGGTTTGCTGTAATTACAGTCTCATCAACAGGGCACAATTTAACTCTCTGGATAATGACAAAGTTTGTCGCGTACACACTTGCCGCTCGATGCAATGCAGTACAGCTGGCGTCTGCTAACAAATGCTTTGGTCTTGCAGTTAATTGCTTTAATCAGGTCTCGAAATCACTTTTTAGGCAGCAGCTTGAAATATGATCCCAGCTGGAGCCCGGGTTCGTGCCAGTCCTGAAAAAAAAGCAAAAGCGCTACAATGTCTCTAATCACGAGAGACTTGAGGTGCAGAACAGAGTCGTCTCTGTGAAAATACAAAACTGAAGGATGGATATATAACGAGATTCGAAGAAAAAGAGGAAAGAAGCAGCGCTCACCTGGTTGTAGCTATGCACAGCTCCTCCGGGCTGCCCGTTGGAGCGTGGAGGGGGTTGAGGCTGCTGAGATTGTGGTGCGGACACGCAATCACTCAGGGCCAGGGTCTGGTTACTATGGTAGCTGGCGGAGTACTGGAGGGAGCCCTTTGGGTTCGAGCTGAGCTGCAGTGAGCTCTGAGAGAGCAGACTCGGTCCTGTGTGCAGAGAGCCAGAGCGAGAGAGAGAGAGAGAGAGAGGGAGAGAGAGAGAGAGAGAGAGAGAGCAATTTCAGCAAGGCAGCGATGTAGCCCTCAGCCTGGCAGAAATGGCATGCATAATTTATTAGAAGGGTCTGAGAGAAGAGTGCAAAAGGGAGGGTGAGCGAGCGAGAGAGGATGTGCCAATGTCAGCTTTATCGTGACCAACCGCTCAAGCTCTTCTTCTGCCATTTGCATGCGTTAAATGGTCAGTTACTTAGCGAACATGGAGGAAATTAAATATTTGTAGTCTGAACAGAAACCATACCTTTTTACCGGAACATTTGTAGCTCGTAGCAGGTGCGAGAGACTCATTTAAAAGAAATGAAAGTTGGGAGAAACCGCCCTGCAGGGTTTGCTGTAATTACAGTCTCATCAACAGGACACAATTTAACTCTCTGGATAATGACAAAGTTTGTCGCGTACACACTTGCCGCTCGATGCAATGCAGTACAGCTGGCGTCTGCTAACAAATGCTTTGGTCTTGCAGTTAATTGCTTTAATCAGGTCTCGAAATCACTTTTTAGGCAGCAGCTTGAAATATGATCCCAGCTGGAGCCCAGGAAATTGTTTCGTGCCAGTCCCAAAAAAAAAACAATGCAAAAGCACCACAACGTCCCTGATCACGAGTCGTCTCGGTGAAAATACAAAACTGAAAGATGGATGTATTATGAGAGTCGAAGAAAAAGAGGAAAGAAGCTGCGCTCACCTGGTTGTAGCTGTGCACAGCTCCTCCGGGCTGCCCGCTGGAGCGCGGAGGGGGCTGAGGCTGCTGAGATTGTGGTGCGGACACGCAATCACTCAGGGCCAGGGTCTGGTTACTATGGTAGCTGGCGGAGTACTGGAGGGAGCCCTTTGGGTTCGAGCTGAGCTGCAGTGAGCTCTGAGAGAGCAGACTCGGTCCTGTGTGCAGAGAGCCAGAGCGAGAGAGAGAGAGAGAGAGAGGGAGAGAGAGAGAGAGAGAGAGAGAGAGAGAGAGAGAGAGAGAGAGAGAGAGAGAGAGAGAGAGAGAGAGAGAGAGAGAGAGAGAGAGAGAGAGAGAGAAATTTAACTCTCTGGATAATGACAAAGTTTGTCGCGTACACACTTGCCGCTCGATGCAATGCAGTACAGCTGGCGTCTGCTAACAAATGCTTTGGTCTTGCAGTTAATTGCTTTAATCAGGTCTCGAAATCACTTTTTAGGCAGCAGCTTGAAATATGATCCCAGCTGGAGCCCAGGTTCAAATGACAAGAGAAAACCCAAGGAGAGGAATGTGCAAGAGGAGAGAAACTAAACTAACAATAATGTTTGTGTGGGGGTGTCAGCAAACAGCTGAAGTGCTGGGAGAACTAGGGTTGGGCATGAGGACAATCGATCATGAACAATCCTCAAAACATAATAACAGTGTAGGCATTTTTTATCAAAACTTCAAAACATTTAATAACAACTATACACAGAAATGTGCAAAAAAAAGGGCCCCACTTTTGAATAAGTTAGTGGTTACGGTATCATTTGAAAGCGATACCTTGCAGTGTCATCACTGCATCAATGTGCACTAACTGGTGTGGAATCCCCTCAAAATGTGTAATCTTTGCTGATTTGATTTTAATTTGATTGATTTGACAAAAACAAAAGAGTGAAATACACTCAATTCACCAAGGATGACACAATAAAGTTAAAAACTTGTTTCCACTGTGGTCCTTTATGTTAAGCATAAACTTCTGGTGACAGGTACACTGGCGTTGCATCATAAATACAAAAGTTACAATAAAAATTCCACATTTACAAAAGTTAAAATCACAATTAAACGTACAGAATATATACTAATACAAATTCATCAATTAAACAACCTACTTAAGAGCCAACTTTTAACTTTCAAAAACTTTTTTAAAACTAGCCATATTTGGAATACTTTTAATATTCATACTCATTGGGTTTTTGAGCCAATCACCTGAGCTGTAAGTGTCATGTGACTAATTAGAGACTAGTTAGAGTCTCTCAACTCTAGAACATGCCATCAACTGAAATTAAACTTATACATTTGGGGGGGGGGGATAACTAAATAATAACAACAATGGAAAGAATTTCCACTCAGAAATTGCTTGTAAATTCCACAAACAATTATGAAGAAACAGCAAGTAACACTGAAAAAAATGTGACATTTTTAAGTAGAAAAACTCAGATAATCTTTGTTTTATTTTCATTTAATTGATCAATCAACTTTTGATACATTATATACTTATTTTCTTTTTTTTTTTTTTTGGTTTAATTTATTACAATTTAATTTGTATTTATTACAGGATTAGGAGCAATCTAAAATATTTTCTCTTATAGATTATATTCTATGATAAATTTTATATAATATAATACTATAATTATTAATAATTTTAATAATAATTATACCAAGTGTATCCCTTACACCCTCTCTAGAGTTGATTTATCTGTCGAATACATGAGTAAACAATGACCAAAATGTCCATTCCTGTCAGATTACACAAATAATCAGCAGTGGCCCGACTGCGTGTTTGGAGAGCGCTTCTGGGCCATCCTGACAGCAAACCAGATTCTATCAACAATTCATAGTTTGTCAAGATGCTATCAACCCTCAAAGACCCAGCTTTCAGTAAGCCCATGGTTGGACTATCAGTCTCAATCAGAGATTAGCTTCTCCTGAAACATACAGTGAAAATAATGATTGTTTTTTTCCCACCCCTCACAAAACACTGTGCCTTTAAAAATAGCTCGAGTTAAAGCATCTCAGGTTTCTCAGGAGGAGGATGCTGTCTGCTCTCCTCGTGCTACACAATAATGTATGGCTCCTGTATCAGACAGATCCATCAAGCTGGTCTGGAGAGATAAGAAAATTGGTGCATTATTCGAGTCCATAATAGCCTGCTGCTCTCATTTATGTTCCCATTGATCTGAAAATCCCTGATCAGACCTGGGGAATGCAATGCAGCTTTGGTTAACCTAAAGCTTTCCTCTGCCCCGACCCTTGACCATATCATCATCAGACTTCATGGCATTGTAAGGTGAATTCTCAAATGATATTGAAGATGATCAAAACAACAGAACAGTCATCAGAGTCTGCTTGCTGAACTATCCCTTTAATGCAGTCACATAAATTCTGATCCTCATTTCTTATTGTGCCAGACAGGTACTGTACATATGGCATGCCATGCATAAAAAAAAAGCATATATATATATATATATTTTTTTTTATATCATTTTAAAAATATATATATTTGATATTTATTTAAAAATAAATAAATAAACAAAACATTGCAATTATGCATGCAAACATAAAATACTAAAATAAAACAAGACGTGCAGTTATGAATGCATGCATAAAAAACTAATGAAATCTAAAAACTGACAATGCAATTGTGCATGCATGAATAAATAAATGAAAAATAAAAAATAAAATGCAATTATACATAACATAAAAAAATAGACAAGGCAACTATACATGTATACATAAAATTAAATAAATACATAAAAACTGAAAATGCAATTATGTATGAATGGATGAATAATAAATTAAAATAAAACCAAACCAGAAATTCAGTAGAAGGAATGAATGAATGAAAGAAAGAAAGAAAGAAAGAAAGAAAGAAAGAAAGAAAGAAAGAAAGAAAGAAAGAAAGAAAGAAA